TCACACTGGCATTGAAAGCAGGCATTTGAGAAATGTTTTTAATGCTCCTCAAATGCCTATGCTAATGATACTATGGGCAGCACACAGTGCTGTTCACATTATCAAAACATGAACAGCGTTAGCATCACATTGCTTCAAAATTGAAGCCTCATGTCGAGTCAGAAGGAGTGTGAAGCCTCTCAACACCTCCCATTCAAGTCTATGGTGATGCTCCTCAAACGCACTGGCAGACGTTTGCGGGGCATTTGTGGTGCGGTTGCAGTACGTTAATTACATTACAGTTCATTTAGTTTGTGGTGTGGTTTTAACACTTGTCAATTGCTTATTAAATGCTTTAAAACTGCATATAGGCCATTTGGGAAATGTTTCTAACACTTGTAAAAAGTCAGTCTAGCGCCCATTCTAAAGCTTATTAATGCCTGTCTAATGCCTATACTAAAGCTATAGGAGTGTTTGGTAAGAGTTAAAAATGTAGTCAAGTGTGAACAAGCCCTAATAGTAAAGGTGGGAATTTTAAAGGTGTTCAGCGGTCCAAACAATGAGGTAGCTCCTGGTGCTGAGCTTGAACAGCCTAATCACCGACAAAGTGTTCAGAGATAGGGCATGCACTGAGGCAATGTCAACTTCTCTGGACCTAGAATGCACTACGCAGCTAACTTGTTTCCAGAACGGGGTGAGAAAAGCACCTAATATGAAACCCAGTGCCCGAACGTTACTTGCAGCCTAGCCACACAGGGTCCTGACATGTCATTCTGAAGCTAGGCTAAAGAAAAGCCACACTAGATAGTTGCAATTGTAGCAATATAGTGGAGAATCTTTTTGAAAGGAAAAAAGTATTGATAAAAAAAAGACTAGACTTTTCCCAACAGAGCTGAGAAGAAAACATTTATTATCATAGGACACTAGCAAAAAACAGAGCCATGCTGGTAGTAGGAGGGGTTATCAAGGGATAGCCACAGATTTGTTTCTTTTGCAGTGTGCAATTCTCCTGTAGGCAGCAGTGTAACATTAAGGTTTATGATTTCATGTGTCCCTCAATCAACAACAAAGAAAATGCTTTCATAACTAAAGTATATATTTAAAGAAGCAGGCAAATCTAGTTACACTTGTCTACACAGATTCACTTACATACACCAGGCATTCACCAGCATTCAGTAAAACGCTTTCCTGATGGCAGTGCAAAAGTCAATCCAAATAAGGACTTAAAGGCTTAGATCCTGACTTGCGAGGTTTCTGATGTGTGCGAATAGTTGTTGGAGAAAGCATGGCATGTCCTCTACAGGAATAAATGGGACACCATTTCAGATTGTCAAAAACCAGACTGAAGACAGCTTCTATATTATAAATATGTTGAATGATACCTAAGATCTAGAGTTTGTTTCATATCAAGATTGACTTAATATAAAATTTATGATGAATCTTCCTCAGACCACAGCAAATGTTTAAGGTTTATAAGGAGGATGAAACACGAAGTCCATTCACTATTGGCACCAACAGTAGTGGATCTAAAGCAAGGGCGTCCCATACACATGCATAAACTTCCCAGCTGCTAGGCAGTGCCCATTTGGGGGCAAGGAGGCAGGCCAATTGTCACAGAGATGGGTGGATGCTGTAATAGAGTAAACAAAGAAGGGTGAGAATACCTGTTTGTTCACATTATTGGATTTTTGTTTACCCCAATGGTGTTTGTCATTTAATGTGTCAAATGTCATAGGTTTGATTGGAGGATTGTCTATGGGTTTCACAGGTTTTAGTATTTTATGTGATAATGATTATATACAGTGTATGTCTGCATTTTAAATTTGAATCATTTGCTGCGGGTAGGGAAGGAGTATGTTTCTTCGAAATGTTACATTTTGCTGTGTGCATTAGCACTTAAATTAAAAGGACTCACATTTTGTTTGAAGTTCTATTGAAACTCATTTGTTTTGTATTAGTGTAAAGCATTTAGCCACCGGCAGATTTGGCTTGCAACCTACTCTTGCTTCTTCTTCTTGTAAGCCTTAAACCCTTTCTCTGCCAATACCTGCTTTTCTCTTGATAAAATTAGATATCTAAATTTCCTACAAATTAGACTCAAACTCAGAATAAGACTGAGCTTTATTCTAGTTAATACAGTGTTTCTCAACTCCAGTCCTCATGGACCCCCAACAGGTCATGTTTTCAGGATTTCCCTCAGATGAAACAGCTGTGGTAATTACTAAGGCAGTGAAACTGATCAAATCACTTGTGCAAAATAATGGAAATCCTGAAAACATGACCTGTTGGGGGTCCATGAGGACTGGAGTTGAGAAACACTGGGTTAATAGATGCAAAACCATATAAGTTTATGACAAAGGCAGGTGTGCCATGCCAGCCAGGAGGAGCTTAGATGTAAATTTTGTCTAGCGTAGGTTAGGTAATGCATATGTAATGATCTTAACAGATTGCTACATTATTATAATTCCATATTTTCCTATATACAGTACTTTAGTTCCTTATGACAGATTTTGCTGTGATGCACTATTATATGAATTTTGGATTTATTACCTAGTTATGTAATCAAGCTTGGATAACTTTAGATTGTAAGCTCCACGAGTAGGGCCCTCACATTCCTTCTGTACTGAAATGTATTGTAATTGTGCTGTCTCCCTTATATTGTAAAACGCTGTGCAAACTGTTGCCGCTATATAAATCCTGTATAATAATAACAATAATAATAACTGGAAGCAATAAACTGTAATTCATGTAGTTATCAGAGTATAAAGTACAGTAGCTTCTGCTATTTCATGGCACCTTATTTCACAACTGCTGCAGAAATAACCTACTACTATACCTAACTACAGTTTTTAAAATATTTTATCTTGGATTTGTTTTGCAGCAACCATAAATAAATATAATAATAGTAATAACAATGAGAAAGCCAGCATGAAGACACCAAGCTGCCAGCTATAGGCTTAGCTGGGGGACCTATTTGTGGGCTGGTGACTACTGACTGTTCCATATGAATGTAAGCCCAGCAGGTTCTTCTGGACTATGCTAGGTGCCATGGATGGGGTCACTCAACCTACACATGGGATACCCTTTTTGCGTCATGCTCATCAATGCCCCGAAACAAGGCCGAGACAGCTTTCAGGGCAAATAAACCTTAAGACAGTCCTCCAACTTAGAGATGGCCATACACTGTGTACACTGAGGGAATAAACTGGATATCAATTCCCAGAAATCCCTCTACATGGTATGCAGCTTGCCCCCAAGACTCTCAACTTAAGCCCCAGAAATAGCCTATCTTTGTCCTCTTCCCATGTAGCAGCCCTTTCCCCTTTTTATTTATAGCACAGGGAGAGAGGCAGAGCACAGAAAGGCAGCCATGACAGTAGGCAACTTGCCTACACATTTGCAAGTCCTATCTGGATAAGCTAACGGGAGAGAGCCGGGAGGAAGTTGTGGGAGAGAGAGACCAAGCTGTCCAGAAGCAGTCTGGGTCTACATCAACCTCACTGGGAAGAGCCTGGTGGACATTGGCAGGAGGCAACTGATGATCCTCTGCCTAAGCGAGTACAAGACCCCAGTGCTGCAAAGTGTGACAGTGTGTAGCTTTAAACTCTGGAAAGAGTACAGGTTACAGTCAGCCTAGAGATCCATTCCTTTTGCTCAAGTGCAGCCAGCAGTTTGTACAGTGCAGTCAGAAGTTGAAGAGTTCTCAAGATGTACAGTTTTACAGTTCTGGGGTATCCCATGCTCCCTGTCCAGTCCACTTAATTGTTCTCCAATAAAAAAAAACACGAAAGGAAACCCCTAAACTGATACTTCGAGCCATCGGAAGAATACAGAAAATTGTGTGTGCCTTGGCTGTACTCAATGTACCATTGCCTCTGTAGGGGGTGCACTACAGATGTTTTATCATAACCACACTCACGTAGAATACTCCCGTGAAGGGCATCCGTCCCCTCTCCTCTGGAACCCAGAGTTTTTGCTCCTGCAGTTTAGATACCACTATGAATAGGCATCATTTGTAGACTGTTATACTGTTATGTAAATAAGGACCAGGTAGTTCCAGTAAAAATTTAGTTTGGGCAGTAGTTAGGATAAAGGTAATTTTCAGGTTATGTTAGCTGTTAAATGGTTGATTTCAAGGATTAAAGTAAGAGTTATGGTTGCTTATGTGTTATGGGTTAAATTCCTGGAGTGTAGTTACAGTGTTAAGGGTTATGTTAAAGTGATTGTGAAGTTTTTTTTAAAATAACAAACATGGTATACGTACATGCTAAGGTAAATGGTAGAAAGTGAGAGGAGAGAGTTACTACAGATGGGCACAGCACTGGATCAGGTGAGGACTCTGATAAGGATAAGTGGGGGTGAGGGTGTAACACTGTTACCTAAACATTTTTTACCTTAATGCAGGGAATGCTTTCAGATAAAAATATGTAGAGTGTAGAACCACTTTATGTATATTTTTTGGGAAGGGATAGTGTTGAGGTTAGGTGTAGGCTCAGTTTAAGTGTGAGGATGAAAAGGTTTTGAGTGGGTGAGTATACGTTCTTATATAGGGTTGTTTTTGGTACCTGAAGGACCATTCAAAATGTCTGGTGTTCCAGGAGCCTAAATATAATGTATCTTTCCCTACAGGCTAACCAGTGCATTATAGTACCTAAAGGAGTTCTGTGGTCACAGCATACACCTTTGTTTTATAACATCATAGTTGTAATAGCAATACAAACAATAGTTATTTTTGACACTCACATATAAGCTTTTTCCTTTCATTTTATGAGTGCTTTGCAGCTTCTCCTCTGCTTTTTTTTGTTTACTTTACTGTACATTTTGACCACAGATAAGCGTTAAGGCTTTTTAATTGGTCAATGGAAAAATGACTTAAGACACACTATAGGAGAAAAACTAGATTCATGTAATAGAAAAGTACATTTTGAAAGTGTAGAGATTTTGGAAAACAAAGTACCACCAGATCTTGTATTATTATTACATTACATTATTTTTATATTACATTATTCTCTCGAGTCTCCATGTATAGAAAATGTACAGCTAGTAACGAACCTAGAAAAACTAATGCATCTGCATTGACCTATGTTCTAGCCCGGGCACAAGTATGCACTAAGACTAGAGCAAACACCTGCCAGGAATGTATCCGATCTGGTCCACACTGTGCTTGGTGTAAAAAGCTGGTGAGTAAACATTAAAAATGACGCTTTTAGTTAATAGATGCCTTTTTTCAAGTAGGATTCAGTAAATGGAGTTCCTTGTTATGATAATTTGCTGACTTAATGGAAATGCTACTATTACTTTAGAAAGGGGAAATAACAACTGGGATCATGCATACATGTGAAAATTCAGTCTAAAATTATCATCAATATGCAGAAATGGCTTATGAACAATTATTTGCCCGTTTATTTAGCTTTATTTATCTTTGAACCCCGATCCCTCACCTCAGCGTGAGTGCCAGGGGTCAAAGGTAAACTCTAGGTCTCCTTTTCATCACCAGACCTTCTATTGTGTCACCCAACCCGTGCAATGCACAACAATACCATCAAATAATATACACTTGCAGGAATTTTTACATTGCTAGGCACTCAGGAGTTGGGACAGTGTGAGCTTGGTCGACATCTACCATCAGCTATTTAGTGCAAGGGCCTGTCTAATTTGATACAAACTGAATAGATTGTTCAGGTAGGTCCTCTTATTCCTTAGTTTTGGTAACTCTAAAGGAAATTGTACAGAGATTGTAAAATCAGATTGTATAGTATATGCCCATCTTTATACAAGCACATAGGAGGGAGTGGATGGAGACACCCAGCTGACAGGCCCCTATCACATTTCCATGTAGCGGGAACTCACATTTCCGTACACTTTTTTTTGGGGGGGGTGGGCGTTTTGGAGCGTTCCGCTGGTCCACACATAGGGCAGTCCTTCACTTGAAAGAACTGCCGTACATAGGACAAACAAACACCCCAGAGAAGCTCCATAATGTTTTTTAGAGTGGATAATGGCACGTTTTTTTACTGTGCTTTGTTGGTGGATGGCAGATGCTTGCTGGCTACCCGCGCCTGGCGTTCCATTAACATGTAATGCAATGCAAGTGCGATGCACATTTCCAATATGCACGGCAAAGCACACATCCTCTCTGCAGATGTGAATGGAGCCCCATTGTTGTTGTGTAAACACACCAATTTCACCTTCAGGCGCCATTCATACCTATCGTTATGGGAGTGCGCATTTTTTTGACTAATTTTTCCTGTCATACACATAGGGCAGCTCATTGATTTCCATGGACATGATTGCAGAGTGGGAATAATTATGGCTGGGGGGGGGGGGGGATATGGCTGGGGGAAAATTGCCTTTCAATACAAATTTTCAGGAAAATTAAATACTTTTCAGAGACTCACATACGCTATATTGCCAAAAGTATTGGGACACCTGCCTTTACACGCACATGAACTGTAATTATTTATTTATTTCAGGTACTTATATAGTGCCGTCAATTTACGCAGCGCTTTACATACATATTGTACACTCACATCAGTCCCTAACCCTCAAATGGCATCCCAATCTTAGTCCGTAGGGTTCAATATTGAGCTATAACAGCTTCAACTCTTCCGGGAAGGCTGTCCACAAGGTTTAGGAGTGTGCCTATGGGAATATTTGACCATTCTTCCAGAAGCACATTTGTGAGGTCAGGCACTGATGTCGGAGGAGAAGGCCTGGCTCGCAGTCTCCGCTCTAAGCTCAGGACTAAACTCAGGTTGAGCTCAGGACTCTGTGCAGGCCAGTTAAGTTCCTCCACCCCAAACTTGCTCATCCATGTCTTTATGGACCTTGCTTTGTGCACTGGTGCACAATCATGTTGGAACAAGAAGGGGCCATCCCCAAACTGTGCCAACAAAGTTGGGAGCATGAAATTGTCCAAAATGTCTTGGTATGCTGACGCCTTAAAAGTTACCTTCACTGGAACTAAGGGACCAAACCCAACCCCTGAAAAACAATCCCCCGACATAAAACCCCTCCACCAAACATTACACTTGGCACAATGCAGTCAGGCAAGTACTGTTCTCCTGCTAACTACCAAACCCAGACACGTCCATCATTTTGCCAGACAGAAAAGTGTGATTCATCACTCCAGAGAACACACGTGCTCTAGAGTCCAGTGGCAGCATGCTTTACACCACTGCATCCGACGCTTTGCATTGCACTTGGTGATGTAAGGCTTGGATGCAGCTGCTCGGCCAAGGAAAGCCATTCCATGAAGCTCTCTACTCACTGTTGTACTTATCTGAAGACCACACAATGTTTGGAGGTCTTTAGCTATTGACTCTGCAGACAGTTGGTGACTTCTGCACACTGTGCGCTTCAGCATGCGTTGACCCCGCTCTGTCATTTTACGTAGCCTACCACTTCATGGCTGGGTTGCTGTTGTTCCCAGTGGCTTCCACTTTGTTATAATACCACTAACAGTTGACCGTAGAATATTTAGTAGCAAGGAAATTTCACTGATGGGCTTATTGCACAGGTTACAACCTATCACGGTACCACGCTTGAATTTACTGAGCTCCTAAGAGTGACCCATTCTTTCACAAATGTTTGTAGAAGCAGTCTGCATGCCTAGGTGCTTGATTTTCTACACCTGTGGCCATGGAGGTGATTGGAACACCTGAATCCAATGATTTGGAGAGGTGTCCTAATACTTTTGGCAATATAGTGTATGTATATGTTTTAGAGGAAATAGTTACTGTAAGAATTACATGTCATTACTAAGCTTTATTTTACCTGTATTGCTTTTATGTTTAGAATTTCACCACAGCAGGTGAGCCAGACTCTGTTCGTTGTGATACTGTAAATGTACTAGCTGAGCGGGGCTGTAGTGAGACAGATATCATCAATCCTCAAAGTACAGTATTACCTGAACGCCCCCAACCACAAGATGATAAAGTGCAGCTGACACCAAAGCAGATCAGGCTGCAGTTGCGACCAGGTAAGTGTGCATCACACAAAGTAGAGCAGAATTTTAATGTGCATTGAGTTAAACTGTCTAGTTCTATGCTGGATTTAATTTTTTTTGAGTTGATAGTTTATACCATGTATACACTGTTTTTGTTTACCATGTATACACAGGTACAAAATGTCTTCTTAAAGTAGACCTTCCATGAAAGTGGAAGATCGGCTCTATAAAAGCCCTCCCCTCCCCAAAGTCAAATCACCAGGTGGGCTTATTCCTCTCATATTACTGAAGCCCTACCTTTCCATGTGTGGGCCTCATTAGCCAATTACCTTCAAGTTCTGGTAGGTGGCTCACTCCCTGTGTTTTCAGCAAGATACATTTTCTAAACAGAAATATACAGTGCTTTTTAGATCAACATGAAAAAGAGATTAGCTGTGTGTAATAAATCTTACCATTATGTGGTCATATTTTAAAAATGATGTTGCTATGTATATTTTGTAATATTTATTTTCACGGGGCAGCCATTTTTTTCGTTACACATGCAGACTCTCCATTACAGTGCTACAGATTGGTAATGCTGTATTGCACCCTCTTACAAAGCAGTCGTATGAGTTGGCTGACAGATGTCCAACAATGCGTTGCCTGTGTGGCTGACATCTTAACTCAAGAGTCATTGATGGAGAAAGAGTAATTTGCTGAGCCAGTGAGAGTTCACTCTATTTGCTAATCTACAAATCTCTACATTTAAAACAATAACAAAATATGGAAGTGCAAGCTGGACATTGGTCGTATGAAAAACAATCACTGCTAAAATGAGTAAATTTATTTTCTCACTGAAAGTACACTGTACTTCTCTGTTAGAGCTCTTTCACATGGGAGGCCAGGACATGGTAAAAACAGGTGGTTGAGCTGCAGTTTTACCTCCTCTGGCCACTTACCTAAATTCTAATCTTACTGCCAGACAGGGCTGTACACATGCTGCGGTTGCAATGCTTTGCTTTACAGCTGTAGCAATTTTAGCTTGGCCTACAGAGTTTGACAGGTGGCACTGCCTGTCAAACTTCGCTATTGAGGTCAATGGAACCATGCAGCTTGCAAAATGCTTAGCTTGCAGTTGCTGCACAGTATTTTAATACAAAATTCCCACAGGAAAAAAAAAACATATACATTCAGAAGGTGGCAGGATTTTCTCCTGAACGCTTGCTAACAGCTGCTGTACTGTCTATGTGAAGGAACCTTTAAAGTTCACTATATTAATATTGAGTGCCTTATAAGAAGAAATATCTGATTGCAATGCACACAATATAATTATACTAAATTGTGTAAACACCCTGTGATTTTTACCTAACAATCTTTTTTTCTAATATTATCAGGCAGAACTGGTGAATTTGAGGTGAAATTTAGAAGGGCAGAAGGTTATCCTGTGGATCTATACTATCTTATGGACCTTTCCTTCTCCATGTTTGATGACCTTGAAAATGTAAAAAAGCTAGGAGATGATCTGCTTAAGGCCCTAAATAGCATAACAACGTCTGCCCAAATAGGTAAGATACTGATTTTTTTTTCTACATATACATGAGGCTTTCTAACAGTTATGCTTTAAGTGTGGCAGCCCCAATATTGAGGTTTATGATGTGACTTGCTGAAATATGGCTACATGAGGGTTGAGGCTTAGATAAACAAATATTGTTGTCTATGACCTTGTTTTCAAATGGTTAGGAAGTATACTATACGTGACCACTTTAAAGTCAAATGGTGGAGCCTTGCTGCTTTATAAGCAACCGGAGTATGTTCCTATTGAGTCTGACCTTTAATATGTTTTTTTGATTACTTCTGTACATAACTTCTTGTTCTTTCTCAGGTTTTGGTTCCTTTGTGGATAAAACCGTACTGCCATTTGTGAGCACACATCCAGAGCAGCTAAAAAACCCTTGCCCAGATAAAACTAAAGCTTGCCAGCCTCCTTTTTCCTTCAAACATATCCTCACTCTTACCCCAAATGGAGGCAATTTTAAAAAGCAGGTCGGAGAGCAGTCCATTTCTGGAAACCTGGATTCTCCAGAAGGAGGTCTAGACGCCATGATGCAAGTGGCAGTTTGTGGAGTGAGTAAAATCTGCTATCAAAGTTCAGTCAAGCATACTGTATAACATTGCAAACATTCAAACTGAATCATGGAATGTAGCCTTCTTAATATGTAGCTCTAATTTTCAGGAAAGGGAGGTCATATAGCCAGAATCATGTAACAAGAGGAAGCACAGTGAAATGTCCTATGAAACTGTCTGCTAGAGTCTATAAAAGATTTAGTTTATAGTTAAACTGTATGAATTTTTATGCTTTTATACGTTTAAATTTCCTCATTTGCATTTTACTGAACAAACATGTTTTAAACAAGATTAAACTTGACCAGTATCATTGTCTGGTGTTTTCAATGGGGCATTCTGGACAACAATGTATTGCTGATGGTAACTGTTACAGAATGATGTAGGGTTAACCGTTAATGATAAAAGAGGACTTTTACCTAAAACAATAATTTGTTAGTGAAAGGGGGCAGAATGCATATAAAATAATATTCACCTTTATTTTTTTACTGCTTAGATTCATAAATCTAAGGCTCCTTTGGTGAACTCCTCTTCGTTGCCACCCTTGTTTTCCTGGTATTTCTGAATATCAGGCATTTCCCCTTTTGCAGTCAACAGGACTGGCTTAAAATTTAAGTAGCAAGATGAGCAAATCACTAGTGACACTAGATTTTAATATTCAAGTTTCAAGATAGTATTTGTAAATAAATGTCCCAATTGTATTTTCACAGGAGAAGATTGGGTGGAGGAATGTCACAAGGCTACTGGTATATGCTACTGATGATGGCTTTCATATTGCTGGAGATGGTAAACTTGCAGCTATTTTAACACCAAATGATGGAAAATGTCACCTGGATCGCAATAGTTATGAGAAGAGTAATGAGTTTGTAAGTTTTTATTTTTAATTTTTTTTGCTATATCCAATAGCAGAATGCATTGCTGAACATAAAGGTCTGATGACTGGAAAATAAAGTTCACATTTTATCCACTTCCATTTAATATCATTGCTATGCATCCTTAATTTTCTTGGTAATGCACACTGAAATAATTCCTGCTGGCATGCACAATTAAAACCTGACTGTAATTGCCAGCTCAGTATAAAGCATACCAGTGATACAAATGGTATATCCTGAATAGCAGAAAATGTTATTTATTTTATATTGTTTATATTTATTATGTTTTATTTATGTGATAGCCTACCCATATAGCATCAGAATATGAAATTATTTGATCATTTTGAACAAAAAATACAATTCTAAAACTAGAGATGGGGCCATGGACAGCCAATGCCTCTCTTTTATATATTCGATGCCCCCAAAAAATTAAAGGAACACTTTAAGCACATCAGATCTCAATGGGGAAAATCTCATGCTGGATATCTATACTGATATGGACTGGGTAATGTATTAGAAACGTAAGGATGCCCCATCGTTTGCTGGAAATAAAAATTATCAACCTACAGAGGACTGAATTCAAAGACACCTTGAAAATCAAATTGAAAAAATGATGCAGCAGGCTAGTCCATTTTGCTGAAATTTCATTGCAGGAACTCAAAATGGTACTCAGTAGTTTTATGGCCCCCACGTGCTTGTAGGCATGCCTGACAATGATGGGGCATGTTCCTAATGAGATGATAGATGGTGTCCTGGGGTATTTCCTCCCAGATCTGGATCAGGGCATCACTGAGCTCCTGGACAGTCTGAGTGCAACCTAGCGGCATCGGATGGACAGAAAAATGATATGCCAGAGGTGTTCTATTGGATTTAGGTCAGGCGAGAGTGGGGGCCATTCAATGGTATCAATTCCTTGATCCTTCAGGAACTGCCTGCATACTCTCACCACATGGGGCTGGGCATTGTCGTGCACCAGGAGGAACCCAGGACTCACTGCACCAGTGTAGGGTCTGACAATGGGTCCAAGAATTTCATCCTGATACCTAATGGCAGTCAGGGTACCATTGTCTAGCTCAGGGGTGGGCAAACATTTTGACTTGAGGGCCGCAATGGGTTCATATATTGGACCCGGGGGCCGAACCAAGAGTAGATGAATGATGTGTATGTGTCATCCATAGTAAGTATAGTAATATTCCCCATAGTAAGCATAGTAATTAATCCCCCATATAGTAATTCATCCCCCATATAGTAATTCATCCCCCATATAGTAATTAATCCCCCATATAGTAATTCATCCCCCATATAGTAATTCATCCCCCATATAGTAATTCATCCCCCATAGTAATTCATCCCCCATATAGTAAGTCATCCCCCATAGTAATTCATCCCCTATATAGTAATTCATCCCCTATATAGTAATTCATCCCCCATATAGTAATTCATCCCCCATATAGTAATTCATCCCCCATAGTAATTAATCCCCCATATAGTAATTCATCCCCCATATAGTAATTCATCCCCATATTATTTATTTATTATTTATTTATTTATCGAGTTTATATAGCGCCAAAGGGTTTGCTCAGCGCTGTACAATAGAGGGGGGACAATACATGAAACAGTACAGTAACATCAAACAGCACACAAGGGGTAAGAGGGCCCTACTTTTCGAGCTTACAATCTAGGAGGGAGGGGGTAGAGGTACAGGAGGAAATGGCTGTGGGGGATGAAGTGGAAGGAGGAGGGAAGGGCAGCGGCTGTTAGGTGAGGGTGGGGTAGGCTTCCCTGAAGAGGTGGGTTTTCAGGGAGCGCCTGAAGGTGAGGAGGGAAGGTGACAGTCTGATGGGTTGGGGTAGTGAGTTCCAGAGGATGGGGGAGGACCTGGAGAAGTCTTGCAGTCGTGCGTGGGAGGAGGAGACCAGGGAGCAAGATAGAAGGAGGTCCTGTGAAGAGCGAAGGGTACGGGTAGGGTGGTATCTGGGAATCAGGTCGGTGAGGTAGTTAGGGGCAGTGCTGTGAATGGCTTTATAGGTCAGAGTGAGCAGTTTGAATTTAATGCGTTGGGCAATGGGGAGCCAGTGGAGGGAGAGGCAGAGGGGGGGGGTGGCAGAGGTGGAGCGGCTGGTGAGGTGGATGAGTCTGGCAGCTGAGTTCAGGATGGTCTGAAGCGGGGTGAGTTTGCACTGGGGTAGGCCGGTGAGGAGGGAGTTGCAGTAGTCAAGGCGTGAGATAATCAGGGAGTGAACGAGTAGTTTAGTGGTGTCTGGGGTAAGGAAGGAGCGTATCTTGGAGATGATGTTCCGGAGGTGGAGCCTGCATGAGTTTGTGAGAGATTTGATATGAGGTTGAAAGGAAAGGTTTGAGTCCAGAATGACGCCAAGGACCTTGGCTTGCGGGGCGGGATTGATGGTGGTGTGTTGTTGGTAGTGATGGAAAGGATGGGGGGGGGGGCACGGGAAGGGGGAAAGACGAGAAGCTCGGTTTTGGAGAGGTTGAGTTTGAGGAAATGGAGCGACATCCAGTCAGAGATGTCGTTTAGGAGGTGAGTGATGCGGGCGGAGAATGTGGGGGTGAGGTGAGGGGTGGATAGGTAGATTTGAGTATCATCAGCATAGAGGTGGTAGTTGAAGCCGTGGGAGTGTATGAGTTTGCCAAGGGAGGAGGTGTAGATGGAGAAGAGAAGGGGTCCAAGGACAGAGCCCTGGGGGACCCCAACAGAGAGGGGGAGGGGAAGAGGAGGTGGCGCCGTTGTAGCAAACGCTGAAGGAGCGTTGGGATAGGTAGGAGGAGAACCAGGAGAGAGCGGTGTCTCTGATGCCAAGGGAGAGTAGTTTATTAAGGAGGAGGGGGTGGTCGACTGTGTCAAAGGCCGCAGAGAGGTCTAGGAGAAGGAGGACAGAGTAGTCGCCTTTGGCTTTGGCGGTTAGTAGATCGTTGGTGATTTTGAGGAGGGCAGTTTCGGTGGAGTGTAGGGGACGGAAGCCGGACTGTAGTGGGTCAAGGAGGTTGTTGTCAGTTAGGTGGGCGCTTAGGCGATCGTAGACCAAGCGCTCAAGGAGCTTGGACGTGAGTGGCAGTAGGGAAATTGGTCTGAGGTTGTTGAGGTCAGTGGAGTCCAGGGAGGGCTTTTTGAGTATGGGGGTGATGTGCGCATGTTTTAGGGGGGAGGGGAAGACGCCAGTAGCGAGGGAGAGATTGAAGATGTGGGTAAGGGAGCGGATGAGGGAAGAGGGGGGTGACCGGAGGAGTTGAGAGGGGATAGGGTCCAGGGGGCAGGTAGTGAGGCGGGCTTCTGAGAAGACTCTGGTGACTTCCTCAGTGGTAGTAGGGCTGAAGGAGTGCAGTGATGGGGGGGTTACGGTAGGCAGGGCCTTGGGTGTGGTGGGGGGCAGTGCCGTTGCAAGGTCAGAGGAGGGGAGAGATGAGAGGGTGATGGAAGGGGGGAGGCTAGATGGGAGGTAGACTGCAAGTTGACTATGTCCTTGCGGATTGCGTCAATCTTGCTATGGAGATGAGTGGCAATCTCGTGGGCGGTAAGTGAGGTACTGAGTGGAGGAGAGGGGGGGAGAGAGCAGGGAGTTGAAGGTGGAGAAGAGTCGGCGAGGGCAGTTAGAGAGGGTGTTGATCAGGTCAACGAAGTAGGCCTGCTTGGCGGCGTGGAGGGAGGAGGTGTAGGTGAGGAAGGCAGATTTGTAGAGGAGAATGCATGAGGGGACCTGGTTTTGCGCCATAGTCTCTCCAGCGCACGACTGCGACGTTTGAGGCATTTAGTGTGGTCGTTCTGCCATGGTTGGAGCGGTCTGGGTTTGATGTTGCGTGTGGTTAGGGGTGCCAGAGAGTCTAGGGTGGCTGATAGTGAGTCGTTGTACGCGGTGGTGGCTAGGTCAGGACATGACAGTGGAAGGATGCTGTCGTGCAAGCGGTCGGCAGCCGAGTGGAGGGGGGCCGGGTGCAGGTTGCGGAGGTTGCGGCTGGTGATGGTTTGGCGCACTGGGGGGGGGGAGTTAGGGGAAGGGGAGATGGAGAACGTGAGGAGGTGGTGGTCGGAGAGAGGGAAGGGGGGTGTTAGTGAAGTGGTTAAGGGTACAGAGGTGGGAGAAGACGAGGTCCAGGGTGTTCCCATTGATGTGGGTGGAGGATTGAGTGTGTTGTGTGAGCGCGAAGGAGGTGGTTAAGTGGAGGAGTCGAGAGGTAGCTGGGGTGTTGTCATTGATGGGGATGTTGAAGTCCCCGAGGATGATGGTCGGTAGCTCAGAGGAGAGGAAGAAGGGAAGCCAGGCGGCGAAGTCATCCAGGAAGCGGGCTATGGATCCGGGGGGCCTGTAGATCACTGCGATCCTTAAGGGGGTGGGTGAGAAGAGCCGGATGCAGTGAGCCTCGAAGGAGGAGAAGGTTAGGGAGGGGGGGTTAGGGAGGACCTGGAAGGTGCTCAGCGGTGATAGGAGCAGGCCGACACCACCACCTTTGTGACCGCTCAGTCTTGGTGAATGGGACCAGATGAGACCTCCATGAGAGAGTGCCGCAGGGGAGGTGGAGTCGGTGGCCTGTACCCAGGTTTCGGTGATGGCTAGGAGGTTGAGGGAGCGGGAGATAAAGAGGTCATGGATGGCAGTTAGTTTGTTGCAAACCGAGCGGGCGTTCAGAAGTGCAACCGAGAGAGGGGGGATGGATGTGGTAATATAGTAATTCATCCCCCATATAGCAATTCATCCCCCATAGTAATTCATCCCCCATATAGTAATTCATCCCCCATATAGTAATTCATCCCCCCTATAGTAATTCATCTCCCATATAGTAATTCATTCCCCATATTAATTCATCCCCCATATTAAGTCCCCAAGTCCCCCCTGTGTCAATTCACTTACCTTTGCTCCGCGCGTTCCTCTCGCCGTGTTCCCGCGCCGTTCGGGTGTAGCATGAAAATCTGTCTCCTATGAGGATCTGTCCCCCTCGACGTATCTGCGCATGTGCCAGTTTCAGGCATTAGCAGCCGATCGGCGATCTCCGGCACATGCGCAGATACGTCGAGGGGGACAGATCCTCATAGGAGACAGATTTTCATGCTACACCGGTCTTCTGGGCGGACTGTGAGAGGAGCCTAGCGGGAGCCTAGCTCCGCGGGCCGGATTAAAAGGTCCGCCGGGCCGTATACGGCCCGCGGGCCGTAGTTTGCCCATTGCTGGTCTAGCCTGTAGAGGTCTGTGCGTTCCTCCATGGATATACCTCCCCAGAACATCACTGACCCACCAACAAAACGGTCATGCTGAACGATGTTACATTCAGCATAACATTTACCACAGCTTCTCACATGTGCTCAGGGTGAACCTGCTCTCATCTGTGAAGAGCACAGTGTGCCAGTGGTGGACCTGCCAATACTTTTATTCAATGGCAAATGCCAATTGAGCTCTATGGTGCTTGGCAGTGAGCATAGGGCCCACTAAAGGACATCAGGCCCTCAGGCTGAAGTCTGTTTCTGATTGGTCAGAGACATTCACACCAGTGGCCTGCTGGAGGTCATTTTGTAGGGCTCTAGCAGTGCTCAACCTGTTCCTCTTTGCACAAAGGAGCAAATACCGGTCCTGCTGATGGGTTAAGGACCTTCTACAGCTCTCCTAGAGTAACTGCCTGTCTCCTGGAATGTCCTCCATGCTCTTGAGACTGTGCTGGGAGACACAGCAAACCTTCTTGCAATGGCACGTATTGATGTGCCATCCTGAAGGAGTTGGACTGCCTGTGCAACCTCTGTAGGATCCAGGTATCGCCTCATGCTACCAGTAGTGACACTGACCCTAGCCAAATGCAAAACTAGTGAAAAACAGTCAGAAAAGATGAGTAAGGAAAAAAATGTCAGTGGCCGCCACCTGTAAAACCATTCTTGTTTTGGGGGTGGTCTCACCGTTGCCCATCTAGTACACCTGTTATTAATTTTATTAACACCAAAGCAGCTGAAACTAATTAACAATCCCCTCTGCTAATTAACTGACCAGATCAGTATCCCAGGAGTTTAATTGACTTGATGCTATACTCTGATTAAAAAGTGTTCCTTTAATTTTTTTGCGCATTGTGTATATATATATATATATATATATATATATATATATATATATATATATATATATATATATATACACACACACACACAGTATATATATATATATATATATATATATATATATATATATATATATATATATATCCTTCTAGATCTATAGCATTTATTATTTCTTCTGTTGTAAGGATGCCTGACCATTTAAGATACAATTTCTCCTCTCAAGTCACTGTCTGGAACCAGCTCTGAATTAAACCGTTTAGGTCAGTGGTGGGCAATTAATTTTCCCAAGGGACCACATAAGAAACTGGGACTGTTGTGGAGAACTGAACCAATAGGCTTAACTTAAATCTGCTCAATTAAATATCCCGGGTATATGGGTGCACAAAACTAGATATGATATCCCCCTTAAAACAAATATAATACAAAAAAAAAAAAACACATAGAGAGCCAGCCTTATGTAATATGGTAAGCTAGCACCCCCTTAGCCCAAACTTACAGAGAGTCTGTAGAACAGCATATCTATAGGAACCTCATTTATATATTTCCTCCACTGTTATATAAGCCCCCAGCGTGTGATGCCACTTCCACAGCAGGACCGAAGTTAAGGCTGACTAGTGGGGGCATAGGCTCCACCCCTTACCTGTGGGTTGGCGAGCAGTTCCAGGCAGTACTTCGCCACGTGCCCTCACCCGCATCATAGTCTTGTTGCCCACTTCCCATTATCTGCCCCAGGCATTTAATGAGCCAACACAGCCCTTTCTTCATGGCCAACGCTGCTCTGAAGGGTGATAACTTCCATCTCAGTGAACGAAGGACCAACAAGGGTGGAATCACAGTCACCACTATCTTGTTGACTGACTGGCCTGGACCCAGGGAACCCACATTCCTCCCCCAGAGCCACAGAGCAGTGTCGCACCCTGCTGCTCGTGGTGGTGTGGGTGTAAGTTTGGCAGGTAGACACCTGTTCTCTAAGGTGAAGGTGCATAGGCACGTATGCACATACACAGATTAGAAAAAAATAGTCACCTTCAAAATAAAATCAATGCAGTTTTGCTCCATACATGGCACACAGCTATTTACATTTCATTTCTAATTCTTGAATGACCTCACACAGGCCTGATAGGGGCCAGATCTAGAACATGCCATCTAATGCAGCAGGAATAGAATTTTTCTTGAACTGTCACCCCCATGTCATATTGTTTTACCTTATACTGATATTAAACCCTATATTTTTTAATAAAAAAGAGGTTATACTTACCTGGTCTTCTTGAGTTCCCCACCGATCGTTTTCTGCTCCTTCTTACTGCGGGTGCCCTCATAGCAGTCTGTGCACTATGGGAGCACACATGTGGGTGCACTCCTGAGCAAGGATGTGTGTGTCTATAGATGCATGTAGGAGGAACAGTTAGTGGGGAGTTTTTTACCGTAATGCATTCCCTGCATTACGGTAAAAAACTCTTAGACTTTTTTGTTTAAGAATTGGTTCCTGCCAACCTGTCTTGTTGCACAGCAATAATTCAGGTGCTTGTCTGGGGGAGGGATTCGGGAAAGCATTTTCCGCCCATGAAGTAACACCTTGTACTGCATTCTCCTAGCTCGTAGATTTCTCTGCACATGGTGGCTACAGACATTTTCCTGCTGCCCTGCATGGGATGTTGATGCCAAAACTTTGGTGTAGCCACAAATTGAATTTATTACCATCACTGAGCTAATTTGTCTGAATGAGTAAATGTAAATATAAAATAATCACAAGATGCTCTCCATAAACCTCACTAAAAAGGCAATAAAGGGCACTTAAAGCGTGCCTGACTAGAACAATCCATCTCTCCCCATCATAATCCTGGCTTTGTTTGCTAGTATAGATGCCTGGGTAATAGTACAAGAATGCAGATTCTAAGGTGTCAGTACTAGCAGGTGGCATGCCAGGAAGAGCCCTTGTTCTGGGCTTTATACAATGCACTGAATACCGTTACACAACACACCAATTGTAAAAATGAAAGAGAATTGATGTTGCTAAACTATACTGTATATACTTGCTTATTTAATCATTTTTTTAGTCTGTTTTATGTTTTTCTTTCTGCCAAATGCATTGAGAAATCTTGCTTCGTGTAACTTGTTAAAAGCAATGATTTATCCACACATAAAGCGTCTTGTGCTTCAACTGCAACAACACCATTTGTTCTATTAATAGCTAAACAATTTTCACATTTGTCATTTTGAAATGACACTCCATCTTGATCTCACAGCAGATTTATTTAAATACCAAGAATGGATTTTTAGTTCATTTTTTTTTAGAAAAAGATAGACATGAGTGATAGGAAAACAAATTAGTGAGATTTCATTGCAGTGTAATGCCCAGATCTGTTATTACTAGATAGGATATCAAATTTTACCCAAATTGTTACATCATTAGACGTGCTATGACTTCTCTGTCTGAAACCCTTTCATGAGAGAGACACCATTTTTTTGGTTGTCATGCTGATCCAATAGCTTCAGTTTTTTCCAAGATAATGATAAGTAGTTCTGACCAAGGAGATTAGCAAACACAGCCTTCATTTTTATCTTATGACAGGAATATCTTATGCTCCAGTGCTGGCGTAATGAAAGGATTATTTAATTTTTTGCACACAAAAGTGAATGTTGGGTCCTTGTTTCTGACATGTTATATTGGAAAACCCCTATTAGCACCTCTTATGCCTACAAGTATTCTTGGGGCTCCTTTACACCTATGCAGTTATAATCATGTATGCTTTTTTGTGTTACATATTATGTGTGTTAACGCAGCACAAAACAATGCATGCTACATGCGCGTTGCAATGTGTTTCCATTTACTATGCACAGCATCCCAACACATATACTTTACAGTACAGCTCAAAGAAATGCACCTGCCCTTGTAGTTTATTTCTTGCCTGATAATAGTACAAGTATGTTTTGCTGTACGCTGAGACACTGGAGGTTATTTACTAAAACTGCATGGTGCAAAATCTGGTGCAGCTCTGCGTGGAAACCAATCCGCTTCCAGGTTTTATTGTCAAAGCTTAATTGAACAAGTTGACATTAGAAGCTGATTGGCTACCATGCACAACCACATCAGATTCTGAGGGCACCAATTTTAGTAAATTTCCCCCAATGTATAAACAAATGTGTAAAATGGTATGCATAAGTATTGGGGGGGGGGGGGCCTTAAGGGTGTATGTGATTGTAGTTTTCTAATCAGAAATCAGTTGTATACCTTTTGAACATTATTCCATCCATGGACTAGGTTTGAGATGACTCTTTGTTTTCTTGACTGTTAACACATTTAATAAACTTCTTTTAAACAGTTTTTTGTACTTTGTAACAGGATTACCCTTCAGTTGGACAGCTAGCCCAGATGCTTTCGAAGAATAACATACAGGTTGTGTTTGCAGTCACTTCCAATATGGTGAAAACATATGAGGTAAGGGACCAGTGATAAATAAACATAGCTGGACGGAGCATTGCTACAATAGCTTCAGCTGTCACAGTTGTAGCTCACACAAGCTGTGCAAATGCATCTGCCTGCATCATAATATGCTTGCTCATTCCAAGCACAGTGCAGACATCTTTTTTACTCTTACTATGTTTTTTTATAGGCTCTCAGTAAGCTAATTCCAAAATCGGTGGTTGGGACACTATCTCCTGATTCAAGTAATATTCTCAACTTAATTACAGAGGCTTACCAGGTAAAATGTCAATTTCTATAAACGAGGCATACATGCAAGCCATTTAGATCTTATTTAGGCTCCTTGTATGTAAAAACATTCAATTTATTTAATGCGTATTCACAGAACAATTAATAAAGTTGTTTTTAAATTGGTCAAAGTGCGATTACTCTGTAATCCCTATTTAGATGAACCCCCTGACTCCCTGAGCCGCCTTCCCCCTCTTTTTACCCTTCATTCCTAGATTGTTTATTTCCTTTCAGGGGTATTTTTGTTTCATAGCATATAATTTAGCTTGCTAAGTATTCTGCTAATCTGCTTTTATGTATAATTTTTTCCAGAGAGGACTCTAATTTTATAGCAGATCTGGATTAGGTAAAACGAGGGCTAAAAAAAATTTACTCTATATTTTCCCAATGCTATTGTTACATAATTTGCGCAACCCTAGATATTTATCCTAAAATATCATTCTGACCAAAAGGAGATCATATAAGTGTGCGTTTTTTTATTTAACGATGAAGAATGGTTATGCTGAAACTCAAGGTTTGGCAGAGCTTTTCCCCTTTTGCTGTTACATCATGATGCAAATCGATAAAATATGACTTCTTTGCTCAGATTGTTAGTATAACAGATCAAGCTGGGTTTTTGCAGACAGAAATTAGGATGACAGCAACATTTTTACTGGTCTACAGTCGTTAACAATTAATTTTGACATTGTGCTTGCTTGTGCTTATACTATTGATGTTCTTGCCATAAAATCAAATGTCACCTTGCGCATCCAGCTTTTTTTGTTGGAAAATGGGGAGAGGGCAATGTAAACATTACACATATTACTTGTATTCATGGGATTCTGAGTCAGCTCAGGGTAGAAACATTGACCTCTCTGCTTTATTGGCCATCAGGTTGAAGGAGGAGTACACTTACAGTTTTGGAGAAACAAGGGATGAACTGTGCTGCATGTAATTTAGAAGACTGCACAAAATTGGGGAAAATAGTGCTTAGATGAACATACTCTATAGTGTTTTTTTGTACATACTTTGTTTATTATGTTCAGGACCAAAAGAAAAATATTTAAAAATGTATATTATAGTCAGATAAATATGAAATATTGCCTAATGAATATTCTGTCATCTTTTATCCGGCCAGAAGGTAGAGCTCGCAATTAAAGCGTATTACACTCGATTTTTTTTTTCTTAATTGCATGGGCCCCCATGTGGGTTATGTCATAATGTGCTAGTATGCACTGCGTTTTAGCACATTATGGCAGACTTATCTTTCAAATGAAGCACTCCAGTGCTGTGCTGTCACCGCTCCTGCTGGACCCAGGCAATTCCATCTTCACCCCATTTTCCTTCCTGGGTTCCGTCTCATTGGCCATTTGAATGGTCTGGCCAAAATGACATCACTCCCATGCATGCACAAAGGAGTTACATCACCATGGCACAGATCAGAGCCATAAAGGCACACTGACATACTCATGCATGGCTCAGTGTATGTAACAACAGACAGGCAGGGGAACGCATTTATTACAAAAGTGACAGATATTGTCTTCTCTGTTATAAAAAAACATGCCTGTTAGCAGCTTTTAAAAAGTAAAGTTTAATACCACTTTAATAATTTTAAAACTGTGGCTAGAATGGTCCCTGAAATGGAAAGGTAGTGGAACTTAGAAGGGATTTCTACAGTTTCTAGCAATAGCCCCATCTGTTGTCAATTCCTTATTTAAATGTGCACCAGCCACACACACTTTCTATACGGAATCATATATAGTAGGTATAGAAAAGAATCATCCCCCCCCCCCCCCCTTTGAAATAATCATATTCTGTTGCTTTGCAGCCAGAAATAAAGACGGACACAACTTTTGTTTTATCCAGCTGTATTTACTTGTCATAACTTATAACATCCAAGTGAAAGATATAACACCAACATGTCAGAATTGTTTTTTTTGTTTTAATTCAAAAACAGAAACACCGAGTTGGAAAAAGGATCACCGCCCTCCTAAAAATGACTTGTAAACTCAATCAGGTGTAGTTAGTCACTTTCTTGTTTCAGTATTTTGTTGAACCACCTTTTGCTTTCATTACAGCCTTTAGTCTGTTGGAATATGTCTCTACTAACTTTGCACATCTAGACTTTGCAACATTTGCCCACTCTTCTTTGCAGAACTGCTCAAGTTCAGTTAAATGTGATGATGACCGTTTGTGGACTGCAGTCTTCGAGTCATTCCACAGATTTTCAGTGGGGTTTAAGTCTGGGCTCTGACTAGGCCATGCAACTTTTTCTCCTTCAACCACAGTGTGGTCATTTTTGCTGTGTGCTTTGGGTCATTGCCATGTTGGAAGGTAAACCTTCTTCCCATTGACAACTTTCTGGCAGAGGGCAGTAGATTTTCCTCAAGAATGTGACAGTATTTTGCCCCATCCATTTTTCCTTCTATCCTGACAAGCGTTCCAGTCCCTGCTGCAGAGAAACACCCACATAGCAGAAAATTACCACCTGAATGCTTTACTGTAGCAATGGTGTTATCTGGGTGGTGAGCTGTATTAGATTTCCACCAGACATATCGTTTAGTGTTGAGGCCAAATAATTAAATTTTAGGCTCATCTGACCATAAGACCTTTTTCCATGTGGCCTCAGAATCTTCAAGGTGCGTTTTGGCTAAGATCAGTTGTGAGTGCATGTGGCCTTTTTTGTGGAGTGGCTTGTTTCTTGCAACCCTCCCATACAAGCCGTATTTGTGGAAAATTTGTGATATTGTTGTCACATGCACACAATGACCAGTCTTTGTCATAAATTCCTGCAACTGCTTCAGAGCTGCTTTAGGCTTGTTGGTAGCCTCTCTGACCAGTTTTCTCCTGGCACTTTCATGCAGTTTGGAGCCATGTCCTGATCCAGGAAGGGTGTCAGGAATGGGCTCGCCTGCCGTGTGGGCTGCAGTGCCGGTGCTTGCCAGCGGGTGTGTCAGGAATGGGCTCGACTGCTGTGTGGGCTGCGGTGCTGGTGCTTGTCGGCGGGTGCTTTCGGCAGCCGGGATCTCGCTCCTGTAGTCGGGCCATCGCCTGAGGCTGATTGCAGGAGGTGTATTTGGGCAGCGCCGGGCCTGCAATCGGTGCCTTGGTGTTGTCCCATGAGCCCCTGTATCTTGTTCCTGATTGTCCTGTACTCCTGATTGCCTTGCTGCCGACCCTGCTTGATCCTGACCTTGCTGACTTCTCCTGCTCTGATCCCTGGCTCGTTTGACTACTCTTCTGGATATCCCTATTGATCTGAACTCCTGTTACCGAACCCGGCGAGTGACCCGACTACTCTTTGCCTGCTGCCTTGTACCATGCTGTCCCCACTGTTACCGACCCGGCCTGTCTGACCACGCTTGCTACTCTGCCATCCATCCGTCCTGCACGGACCTATCTGCCTTTTCAGGTCTGGCTCTTACTAGTGTATACCTCTGGCGGATCCCTCTAACACAGGTGGGTGTACTCAGGGGCCGCGACCTGATCACTGTCTGCTCCAAGTCCATCCCCACCATCAGGGGCCCTGGTGAACAAGCAGACTGGGGCTTAGACTCCACGCTCTGGGGAATCCTGTCCTGTGGATTGCTAGAGGTACCGCCAGGTGGTATCTGACAGAACCATACGGCCTGGCTGACCATTCCACCTCTCCAGCCCTGACTACGCCTGTGTTTTCCGCACATACTGATATTAGTGGAAGGTTGGTTTTGTTTACTGTGAGTTTTGTATATTTGGGAGGCTAACAATAAATTATATTGTTATTACATCATTCCTGAAGCCTGTTACTTCCCTGTATCAGTCCACACATTTCTGGTCATACCCGGATCCCTGACAAAGGGTCTGTGTTGTACAAAATACTTTCCATTTCTTAAAAATAGACTTCACTGTGCTTCTAGGCATTGATAAAGCCTTTGGCATTTTTTGTATCCATCTCCTGACTTGTGCCTATCCACAACTTTATCCCGGAGATCTTTTGACAGTGCCTTGCCACCCATAGTTGATTGTGTGCTCTTTTCATGCTGAGCTAATCAAAATGACCACAGCTGATCAATGGCTTTGTGTGCCATTGAGAAGGTGATTAGCTACATCTGATTTAGTTTACAAGTCATTTTAGGAGGGGGGGGGGGGTGATCCTTTTTCCAACTCAGTGATTCTGTTTTTGATTTTTTAGCTTTTTTTCTGATATGTTGGTGTTATATCTTTTACTTGGATGTTATAAGTTGCACTGAGTAAATACAGCTGGATAAAACAAAAACGGTATCTGTCTTCATTTCAGGCTGCAAAGCAATGAAATGTAATTATTTTAAAGGGGGGTGATTCTTTTCTAGACTCACTATATAAGCTTAAGAGTACAAACAAGCAAAAGACAGGGGGGCAACTGTCCAACATTATATATACATATAATATAGGCATTACAAATATTTTTAACTGTAAGCTATATAGCACTATATAGCATGATGTGTGGAAACTCTATAAGCCTCATTCACACATGCAAATAGGGTCAGCCAGTGGATTCCCGCAGCAAGTATTAACACTGGTGTGTACAAAGCAATGGCAGGCTGACAGGACCTGTGCCTGTCTGCCACTGTTCACATGGATCCACACATCCAGTAGTTAACTATGGTTAGGGACAGATGATCAGTTCTGGATGCAATCTTTCTGTGTCAAGGGCTGCTCATCTGTCTCCTAACTGCAGGTAATCACTGGATCTGTAGATACTGTGCATGTGAACAGTGGAGGACAACTGTGGCTCCTGTCAGCCTGTCATTGCTTTGAACAGGTTGAGCGGGACACAACTGTTTGCAGACTCCTGTGATTCCTGCCACAGGAATGTGCTGTCTGGCCTATTCACTAATGTGAATTAGGATTTAGAAGTGGGATTAAAAATAACAGTAATCTAAAATTATGACTTGCAGTAAATAATAAAAAAATAATTATAGGGATTGTCTATAAACTTTAGCAGCAGCACAGTAACAAGATAATAACATGAAGTGCTATAGTGGCCAAGTATAATGAAACTGTGGATTTTATAAAATAATTGTCTGTTTTCACATTAATGCAGAATTTGTCATCTGAAGTTATTCTGGATCATGGAGTCACACCTGATTCCTTGGATATTCTGTATGATTCATATTGCTCTAATGGTGTTGTCAACAGAGACCAATTAAAAGGAGAATGCAGCAATGTCAAGATCAATGAGGAGGTAAGCAATGAGCATCAAATGCTATCTATAAAGTAAAGTATTTAAACATTGTACATTAAAAGCAATAAGGGCATCACTCATTACTTGTGCTATTTTGTTCCATTATACATTGCTGTGAAAAAGTATATGCCCCCTTTTTTGTTTTTTTTTGCATGTTAGTCAAACGTAAATGATTCAGATCATCAAACAAATTTTATTATTACACAAAGATAACCCAAATGAATACAAAATGCAGTTTTTAAATTATTATTTCATTTTTTAAGGGAAAAAAGCTGTCTACACCCCCACTCCCTTGCTAAATGCAAACATAGAAAAGTGACAGCAGATAAAGACCAAGTGGTCCAACGAGTTTGTCTGTTTTTTTGTGGTTTTTTTGGAGGGGGGGTGTTATGGTTTTTTAGGTTTTTTTTGGGGGGGGGGGTTGTTTTGTTTTTTGTTAAATTTTTTGTCTGAGTATAGATCTATGCTTGTCCCACGTATGTTTAAAGCTATATATTGTTGACTGACTCATTGCCTCTGCTGGAAGTTTATTCCAATTCCTTTTTAATGGTGAATCTGTCACAATGATAAAGGCAATTAATAACTGCACCCCGCATACACTTTTTGTGAATCTAAAATATCATGAATACCCCAGGAGCCCCTAAACCCTAGAACAATTGGTCCTCCAACTTCCCACAATGTAATGTAGGCTCCTTTCTATATAATCTGTAGGCTATTGAACACTCAGACAGTCCTTTTATTGCCTCATAATGAGAGAGGTAGTGTAAAATCATGTAACAAACAGCTGCAGTCCTACTCAGCTGCATGTTTGAGAGCCTGAAAGACCATAACTTACATTACATTGAGATTAGGGTAACCAAAATACTACTGTTCTATAGAACCATTAGCCCTAAGAAATTCAAATAACATTACTGCCTCCTGTTATGGGGCATTTGGAAGTTTGAAAATTTTTACCTTAAAAAAGCCTTACTCATACCCAATTTCCTTTCCTCCTAAGACAACCAATGTCCCTTGTCATTTGATCAGTCTTTGTGCTACATTATGAATCTTCCAAATCTATGTTGATCATGGTTATATTTAAACATAATATTTAGATCTCTTCTAAGTAATTTTTTCAAAACCAAGAAATCACACTGTTTTCAACCTTTTTATCATAAGATCAGACTCCAATCAATACTATATTATACATCCATTAGCATAGCTTGGCTTTATAATTTTACATATGCCAACATTCAATTGCATCTGTCATTAATCTACCCACAAAGTCAATTACTAAAATTATTCTGTAATATGTCACATTCCTGCTGAGTCTTAGTAATTTCACATCATTCTGTGTTCTCCACAAAAGTTTTACTGAAGTTATCTGAATACATTAGATGGTGGTCTTATGTTGTATAACAATTTCCCCGCTATGTATAGAAAAGTTTCTGTGTGGATGTCTTAAAGTGGAGTTCCAGTCAGTTTTGTCTTTATAAAAAGTCAGCAGCTATAAAAACTGTAGCTGCTGACTTTTACTAAACACACATTCACATTTGCTGGGGTCCAGCGATGTACTCACCCACACCGTCCTTTCTCTGCCTCTTCTCTCCCCAGTACCGGCATCACAACTGTGGGCACTAGGCTGTGACAGCTTGCGGCTTCACAGCCGGGTGCCCACTGCGCATTTACCGTAGTGCTGTGCAATCTGATTGGTCCAGCAGTCTTCTGGGACCTGTGAAGGTTCTCAGGAGACTGTGGGAGGAAGGAGGGGGGGCAAACTTTGCCGTAGCAAACTGGTACACAGATTAGTCCTGTCAATTTAAGAAGGTGCTCCTAACGACAACTTATTACTGTATGTGTATAAAAGACACCTGTCCACAGAATCTCTTTCTTCCATTCAAACCTCACCAGCACGAGCAAGACCAAAGAGCTGTCAAAGGACATCAGAGACAAGATTGTAGACCTGCACAAGGCTGGAATGGGCTACAAGACCATCAGCAAGAAGCTTGATGAAAAGGAGACAACTGTTGAAGCGATTATTCGCAAATGGAAGAAATACAAAATAACCATCAATCGCCCTCGGTCTGGAGCTCCATGCAAGATTTCACCTCATGGGATAAGGATGATCAAGAGAAAAGCAAGGGATCAGCCCAGAACTACACGGGAATAGCTTTTGAATGATCTCAAGGCAGTTGGGACCACAGTCACCAAACAAACCATTGGTAACACAATACGCCACCATGGAAGGCACATGTACAGGCCCGTCTGAAATTTGACAATAAACCTCTAAATGATTCATAGAAGAGGGTTAAGAGAAAGTGATGTGGTCAGAAGAGACCAAAATTGAGCTTTTTGGCATTAACTTGACTTGCTGTGTTTGGAGGAAGAAAAATGCTGACTAGGACCCTAAGAACACCATCTCTGCAGTCAAGCACAGAGGTTGAAACATTATGCTTTGGGGCTGTTTCTCTGCTAAAGGTACAGGCCAACTTTGTCGCATTGAAGGGCCAACAGATGGGGCCATGTATTGTAAAATCTTGAATGAAAACCTTCTTCCCTCACCCAGAACACTGAAGATGAATTGTGGATAGGTCTTCCAGCATGACAATGACCCAAAACATAACGTTAAGGCAACAAAGGAGTGGCTCAAGAAGAAGCGCATTAAGATCGTGGGGTGGCCTAGCCTGTCTCCAGACCTTAATTCTATAGAAAATTTATGGAGGGAGCTGAAACTTCGAGTTGCCAAGAAATAGCCAAGAAACCCTAAGGATTTAGAGAAAATATGTAAAGAAGAGTAGACCAAAGTCCCTCCTGAGATGTGTGCAAACCTGGTAACCAACTGCAAGAAACGTCTCACCTCTGTGCTTGCCAACAAGGGTTTCTCCACCAAGTAGTAAGTAATGTTTTACCTGTGGATCAAATACTTCTTTTACTCACAGAACTGCAGCTCAATTTATAACAGTATATAACAATAAATGATACTGTGTATATGAATATGTGTTCAAATGACCAAATATATGTCAGGTTTTAATAAGATTTGTTTTTCTTTTAGATCACATTCAAAGTTAAGGTTACAGCAAAAAAGTGTCTTCCAAATCAAAGTTTCTTAATTCGTCCACTGGGATTTACAGAAAAAGTGGAAGTTAGTATCACGACTGCATGCGACTGTAATTGCAGAGATGAAATAGAGATTGAGGCCTGTAACTCGAATGGGGAGATTATATGTGGGATCTGCAGGTAAATGTATATTACATAATGGGGCTGATTTTTTAAAACTGAAGGAAAGTAGCAAGGAACTTTAAGAAGCTGCCTGTAGAGACCTATTCAATTCTGTACTGTTGTGTCAAAACAGTCTCTTAGTTGTCTGCTATAAAAACAAAATAAAAAATATCTGGCTTACTATATGGCTGCATCTAAGGTTGACAGCTGCTAAATCTAAAGCTTCCTCAGTGCTGGAATATGTTATATCTGCCCAAATAATCTCCTCAGAGACTACATATCACACTGCAGCAAAATTTAAAACTGACCTTCACTGGGACAAATGACTTTCCTCCCCTTGATTCTAACCCCTACAGTAAGAAAATCCCCCCCTTTATGTTTTCACACCCATGCTCGCCTCCCATCCTCCATTCTCGCCTAGGCGACAATGTTCCCAAATGAAAAAAGAAAAATGAAATGAAAGAAGAAACAGTCAACAGGATACCTGTTGTTAGGTTCTGTGGTCAGGTTATGGTTCAAGGTTATGTTAAGGATTAAGCATTAGTCAGATGTCAATTGTTCATTTTAGCGGGTATGTTAAGCTTTAAGGTTCAAATGAGGGTCAGCGCAGGGGTTAGGTCAAGGTAGGGGTCAGGATATACGAGACATTTTTTTTCACTTCTATCAACATCAAAAGCTGCTCTGAAAACGACCAGAATTGTGATTCTTGGTACTGTGATTACCTAGCTACATAGTTTATCGTCTGAACTAACAACAAATACTATTTTCATTTTCAGCTGTAAAAAGGGTCACGTGGGGAAGAACTGTGAGTGTGTAACTGGAGGTAAAACAAATCAGGAATTGGAACAGAGCTGTAGAAAGGACAACAGCTCAGCTGTGTGCTCTGGAGCTGGAGAGTGCATATGTGGCCAATGTACCTGCAATCCAAATGATGACCCTGCGAAAAAAATCTATGGCCAATATTGTCAGTGTGACAACTTTAACTGTGAAATGTTCAATAGTAAGGTGTGCGGTGACCAAGGTATGTGTTGTCTAATAATCATTTTTCTGATTGTCACTGTTTCCTGTACAGCGGTGTTACTCTACTGCCCCCTAGAGAGGTGACAAGAAATTACTGTATTCTTCACATAACCTCTGAACCGATATTCTAAAAGGTGTGATATGTAATTTATTCTAGAGTACAGTTAGGAACTGCAGAATACTGAGGTGCCATGAAGAGGCTTTGCAGTTTATGCATGTGTTTGCAAATGTGTGCTAACTAAACCCCAGTTTTTAACTCACACTGTTAGACAGGTTAATTCGGTTTGTTTGCAGGCTGGTTGGTAAGTTGAGCTGGGAATTTTTCTCTTTTATTGTTTGACATGCGTCGCCCATCCATGTACTCCTTGCTGTGAAGGCCAGTTATAGACTGGGGCAGTGGCCATTTTTTGTACTGTTGACTTGTTGCTGAGGGGGTGCACTGGACATCAGTGCCCTGATGATCAGTGTACATGTCCTCTCCGCGGAAAGCCGATTACTGGCTCTCCTTTCTAGCTGTCAGCGTGACAGCTCGAGAGGAGAGAAATGACGATAACCGGCATTTCCCTGTTTACATGTGATCAGCTGTGACTGAACACAACTGATCACATGACCGAGCCGACATCTTCGGCTCTTTCCGTGATCGGTGATCCGCTGTGTCCGAGGGACACAGCTCACCGCCAATCGCCGCGCGCTCCCTGAGAATGGAAGGACGTCATTTGATGTCCTCCCAGAACGAGAGAACCACCTTGCATCCGTCATATTACTATATGGCAGGCAGGAGGTGGTTAAAGGAGGGGTGGGCTCCCTCAGGTTCACCTGCCCTTGGTCTATCCATTAATTACATGGGTCACCCTTCCAGGTGCTCCTTGCTGTGAAAGACAGTTATAGACTGGAGCAGTGGGCATTTTTTGTACTGTAATGTATTTTAACCTGCTCCTGCTCAATGAGAGATTATTGTACATGGTGGACAGTTTTAACACATGCATTATTCAATCTGGTAGTATACAGTGTGTCAAAAGCAACAAAAGATAAATATGGGAAACCTCTACTGCATTTTTGTTTTACTTATACTTAAAAACATCTGAAAAAGAATGTTTTAAATATATTTATTTTGTTTACTGAGTATGGTGTAATACAATGGAAGTGGTGTAACTACGGCTATAGCAGTCCCTAAGATTGCTTTTGTGCCAGGAGGGCCCATTTCAGGGCCAATGGTTCCCCCTGCTGTCTCTGAGCCTATGAGGAGGGAGAGAGCCGCTGCTCTTGTTCACAGTGTTGGATTGAGATCAGGCTCAGGTAAGTGTAAGGGGGGACCTGCAGAGAATGCTTTAAGATAAAAAAAAAAAAAAACCTTCAGCCAGGGGCGGACTGACCATTTGGAAACTCAGGCACTGCCCGAGGGCCCGGGGTCAGTAGGGGGCCCCATGAGATGCCCCTGGTACCTTTTTCATAGGCTTTTTTGAGTTTGGGCAAGGACACAGGGGCCCCATGATCCCCTATTGCCCCGGGGCCCCATGAGTTGTCAGTCCGCCCCTGCCTTCAGCCTTTACACCCACTTTAAAGAAGTTTATATTAGGGTTATTAGAGCAAACATTTAATGTTTCGAAGCTTACAAATCCTCAGGTGTTGTGGCTGCAATCATTTTTTTTTAAGATTTTTTTTTTTCCACCTTCTATTTCACCTGGTAAAGCAGACACCTTAGGAGTGCAGCTTTGTCAGTCTGAGAAAAGGGTAATGTTAGATATCCTAGCAAATTTAGGTGGACTAACAAATTGAAGCTGAACTCCAGCTAACAATTTATATTATATTTACAGAAAACAGTTCTTTTCTCCCTTTTGGAACAAAGGTTTTAAATAAATGAATAAAAGCTGACCATTATAAGCCCCTCCACCAGTAGTAAATGGTTTATTTCAACTCTCTAACTGCTATTCTGTCTGGACAGCTTGGACTGTTAGTAAGTTAAAAAATAACATACTTACTAAGTCTAGTAATTGGGAGGATCTGCTGGATCACCAAGTGAACATAAAGGAAAAAACCTTAATGCATAACTCCACTTTTGTTGAGAAAAAAAATTTGCCCTCTGTGTGATCAATGTGTATTACAAGGATTTTAACAAACTTTGTTGCAGATTCCTACCTTTTGTTATTCCGAAGAAATAGCTGTTTGTTTGTCTGTGTCCATGTCCAGAGTGGATGTGTATGGGAGTGATTTTATAAGTATCAATCAGCTGCTGCACCTGCAAGGCTCTAATGAGTAAACTGGCAAGGTCTGCATCTCTTTAGATGTGATTTCCCTTTGGGAATATCTCACCAAAAATTACTTTTTTGTTGCAGGGGATGCTCAAAATCTGACTCGTATCTTAGTACAGACTTCTGGAAAAATCAGTGTGCCAATCACACAGGCAGAAAATTACATTTTCAGGGGCTGTTCTTTACACCATCTGTGTACAGAGTGCCTCCAGTTAGTTATTGCATTGCATTGTACAGAAAATTACAGCGCTGTAGACTGAAAAGGAAAGGTAATTTTTATTAACATTCAGTAACACTGGTTGTTATTTACATTTCTGTACAGAAACCAATCAGCTTACAGGTTTTATTGCCAAAGCTTAGTTGAACAAGTTGAAGTTAAAAGCTGATTGCCTACCATGCACAGCTGCAACAGATTCTGAGTGCACCAGTTTTAGAAAATCTCCCCCAATATGTCTTGAGTCGCAATTGCATATGCTATATTGGGGGTTTTTTTTATTTGCTATTTTTTTCACACAAAAGTGGAGTTACTCTTCAAAAAAAGAAAACTAATGCAACAACCACATTTAGGAATTGATGAGCTGCAATTTTTGTAATTATCTGATTAAATATGGTAATGGTTACTATTATTGCTACTTCATCTGTTTTTTTACTGACCACTAGACCACCTCTTTCAACATTTGTTTACTGTGGTGATGTAAATACTTAAGATTTATACTAATACCCTGAGATCTGAAGTCTGTAATGCATAGTTGCCAACATTTAAAAAAATATTTTAGGGACACTTTTTTTATTTGTATGTCCACAAAGCCAGTGTAGTGCCAGTGTAGTGTGTGGTGCGATCACCCCTGGGCTGGCCACACCCCCTCACATTAACAACCAATCAGCATGGGAGAAACAGCCACATGACTTCCTGTCTCTCACTGATTAGCAGTCCCAGGCAGGGGGAGGACAGAGAGGGAGGGCAGAGGATCACAGGGATCGGGAAAGAATATAGTTAACACATTGCAGTACTAGATGCCCCGACTACTGTGGCCGGCGGTCCGTGACAAAATAAAACTTGTCCATGACAAAAATCATTTTCTGTGATTCAGCCAGGGACAAAGACTGTCCGTGACAAATGTCAAAAATTTGTGAGCGTCCCAGGCAATCCGTGACTGTTGGCAACTATGGATACATTGAAAAAGACTGGGGAGCTACTGAGAACAAAGTAGTTACCTGAACCTGGATAGCATTCTGTAACACCAAGGAATACTGTTCATACCAATAGAACACAGTCTAAAAATATCACCCAATGATACTGTAGAAACGTATGCAATTTCTATACCTTTTGGTCGAACCCCTTGATGAGGGATTGTTAGATTTTAAGTAAGGTCACAGGTGCCTTCTCCTACACGAAGAGCATAATCAAATGTGCAAGCATGAAAGACAACAGAAGAAGTAACCAAAAATATTACCATACCATGGACATTTCCTATATGTCCCTCCCTAACAATGCCTGTGTTTAAGCAATCTAACTTAATCCTGTTTGATTTACAGGGACGTGTGACTGTGGCAGCTGCATATGTAATGAAGGCTATGAAGGAAGTGCTTGTCAATGTCTAAAATCCAAGAGCTGTACCAACACCAGAGGAAGCACATGCAGTGGTCGGGGAAAGTGTGAGTGTAACAAATGCACCTGTAAAGATGGTTATATCCCACCATTCTGTGAGACCTGTCCTGGCTGCCCTTCTCAGTGTCCACGTTTTGGGTAAGTGCTACTGATTGCCTTACAATGTCAGTTGATTCTGTAAATCTAACAGTGTCTGTACTGAAAATACAATATAATATTTTTTGTGAGTAATCCATTTCACTTTTTACTAGTTCAGGGAGACATTTTATCTGGACGTAGTATAAAAATGCAACTGGTTGGTGTGAACTTTATTTGGTGAAGTGGGGCAGGTATTAACCATAATTCAAATTGGTAAGGCCCCTTTCACACGGGGCGGACTCCATCAAGTGGATCCACTTGCTCAGAGGGAGATCTGTTTGCTGATCCCTGCTGAGCAGGTGGATGACAGGTCCAAGTCCACTCCGCTTGTGCAGAGTGGACACAGCCCACTTTGTTCTATGGGATGGTTGGATGTAAATCGCCTTTCCGTTTACATTCGACTGTCATCTGATCCAATCTGCTAGATGGATGGGGAACAGATCCCCCATCCATCTGTTTTTAGTGGATCGGATGCAGGCGGGGTGTACACGGACACATGTCTGTTTACATCTGCCTCCCCATAGAGAACAATGGGTGATTAGATCGGTCTGCCCTTGTGAGAGGGCCCTAAAGGATTGGATTACCCAACTGAGACCACACCCTCAAAGGTCTTATAGCCGTGAGAAGGCCAAAGCAAAACTAAGCAATTTATCTCTGCAGGGGGTAGATTATGATAACTGTGATATTGTCACCCAACCAAGCTGGCTTTTACATAGGAATAAAGGCAGAATGGAGCTAGGCCAAGAAACAGGCATGTCTGACATTAGGCGATGACTACAGCAGGTAGAACGGTGGATTTCTACCTTTTTAATTTGTTTGCATATGCACTGTTGCTCTAGAGCCTGTTTATAGCCACCTCCTGTATGCATGCATTCACTTAAGCAAATGCTGCATGTCATTTCTAAGGGCAAATTTCCTGATGATGACAACAGGGTATTGTGCCTGTATAATGTGCATGGGCATGACCGTTTGTAGTCCTCTTTTGAGGATTGTGTGAGAGGGTGAACAACGAAAGAGTACAATTGGGAGACAGGGACAGAGCGCTGTTACTCTATTACAGGAAGTGTCTAAAGAAGGACTTTTATAACAGGATCACTTTTTAAATGAAAGCTGCAGAATTAAAAATGCTGAAAATATTGAAAATAATTTTCCTAGTCATACATTACAGGACAGAGGATAGTATCCTGAAAAACTTCTTAGTAGTGTCCATAAGAAAATAGACATCTTCTCTGCTCTGAGAGAAGCAAAACTTTTTTTTCTTTTTATCAAGACATATTTTCTTCTAGCAAAATTCTTCAGTTGATGCAGAGCCACTGGGGCTCATGTTTACAGTTTCTAATTTGGTTACTCCTTGGCTTTTCCCTTGGGGATGGTACGCAGACCCTGCAAGAAAAAAAGAGTCAGGGAAAACCTGTAGTGTCACCCTCTGGACACTAGATCCTGCATTTGGCACTTACCTAGGCAAATTGTGTAATTTGCTAAGTTAGCCGCAGAGTGCTCTACAGGTCCAGGGCCATGGTCCACCCGTCTGGAGGAACCCTAACCCTAAAGACTCCTTAGGAGGGATGCCCACTGGAGACAAGAAAAGGCTGTTGAGAGGGGGCATGTTCCAATTGGTCCAACCTGGCACTTTCCAGTCTGTGTGTACTGTTGGGGCTGCAGGGCACATTTCAATCCATCGTTGCCGTAAGTTGGGGCATAGCCTAGCTTTGGTTGCACCCCCACAGGGTTTAATTCTGAAGTTCCTACCAGCAGCACTTTTACAGCCGTGAAGTGATGGTGAGAATGGAATGAAGGGCACCTTTATATTTAGAGTCCAGTACCAACTCTACTGTTCAGGGTTCAGTTTTAAACAGTAGCTGCTCTATGAGGTCTGCAAACACCTGGTTTGTGTTCCCCACTGTGCCTGTGTGCATTGCTCCCTGGTATGCACATGAACTCTCTTTACCTTCTCGTACCCCATTTCTCTCAGGCCTTCAGCTTCACAGTGAAGCATGGAATTCAGGTACACCATAAGTCCTGGACCATGAAGTTCTCTGAGCCCATTAAGTCCTCCTCACATGAGGGGATGCCCTCACTTGTTAGAGTTGGGGAATGTCTGTTGACTTTCATGGCCATCTGCACAGAGGACATTTTGAGCTTTGGGTCCAGAAAGTGGTATACAAGCTCTACAATCTCCAATTTCAGGCCCAGTCTCTACCCCCTCCCCCCTTTCATGCTGTCAACCTTACCAGCATGCCCAAAAAGATTGGCAGACCTTCACATCACTCTGGTGCAGCTCCTATCTGAAGGAATCCTAATCATTGTCCTGGAAAACCAGAGGTTTTAAAGTTTCTATTCAAACCTGTTCACCATCCTGAAGGCAATATGGGGCATTCTACCCATGCTGAATCTGAAGGTTCTCAACACCTTTCTCCAGGTGAAATCATTCCACAGGTTTGTTATTGCTTACCTTCAACCTAGAGACCTTCTGGCTTCTGTGGACATTGAGGATGCCTACTTATATATCTCCATATTCCTGATACCTCAACATTACCTTTGTTTTGCTGTGGGCACACACATTACCACTTTTTTGCCTTTCCCTTTGGTCTGTCCCCTGCACCTCAGGTCTCACCAAGGTTTTCCTATTCTTTCACTTATTCGTTCTCTGCACATCCCTATAGTAGCATATCTGTATGACCTTTTTCTGGAGGAATGTTAAACTCAGGCTATATCAGCCAGTGTTCAATGGACAGAGCTTCTGAATCTCAAGAAATCAGTGCTGCAACCATCTCATCACTTGAGGATTGTGGACCTGATTTTAAACATGGCCCTGTCCTAGAATTGTCTTGCTCTTCTGTCTGATGGGTGGATCTACCACCTTGCTTCTTAGTTACTGGCTTTTACAGGCTTGGCAACTTAAGCCTAGATCCTGCGGGACAGGGGTCTATCAGATGTTGTCATAGCTTATGCTCTTGAAAGCTAAGAAATTCACTTCTTGCAAGAATGCCATCACATTTGAAAAGCATATTTTACTTGGTTCAAGACAAGGAACTTCCATCCATGGGAAGTTCTCCATGGGATAAATCCTGTCTTTTCCCCAGTTTGGCCATTGGTCTAGAGTCAAATCTCATCCTTAACCATTGTTTTTCACAGACCATATGCCTCTCACTCCCTATTGAAGGCCTTGTACAGGGTGTTGCTCACAATACGTTTAACGTGTACTTTGTGGCATATCAACCTGGTTTGTCAACTCTTCATATACTGCCCTTTGAACCTATGAAGGATATTCCTTTGGCTGTGCATCCTTGTACCTTGCCTTTCTCATCACCTTCACTTCTGTGAGGCGACTCTGAGTTTTCGCCCTTCACCTGTAAAGAACCTTTCATTGTGCTACACTAGGACATTGTTCTACAATCTCTCCGTCCTGCTTCTAAACATCTGAGGAGATTCCCTGCAAGCTTTTCAAGTTCATCTGTCAGCTACAGCTCCGGTTAGATAGCCTAACTCTCTGTTTGTTGTTCCTGTGGGTCACCATAAGGGACAGCCTACTCCTCATTCTGCTATTGCTAGCTACTTTTTCAAGCTTATAGCCTCCAGGTCAAACTTCTCCATCAGTGATTCTCTTGGCAATCAAACCTGAATTCCAGGCTGATAAAACAGACATGCAGGTATGTGCTTATAAAGAAATCATTAAATGTATGTATTAACCAAAATAACTAATGGAAGTGCCACAATTTTCCTTGACATCAAACACTTCCTGTACAACCTGTACAACAGAGCACACACTGGGGGCAGGAAGGGACAGCACAAGGAGCCAATCAATTCTGCTTCAGTGCAAATACTAACAAGAAGCATGCTGACAGTAGCAGAATGGAAGAGAGATGAGCTCCACGGCTTCTCTTTCAGACTGCATGCACACTAGCATTTTTTAAGCTCCTTGAAGCTAATAGCATTATCCTATGTGTCCATGCAAATTATTTTGTTAGAAGCATTTTTCAAGCTTCAGTCTTTAGGAGCAGAAAAAAAATTGTTTTTGCAGAGTTTTTGGGATCGTTTTCCCAGCAGAAAAAAAATGCTGAGCGCTCCTAAATGCTTCTAGATGCTAATAAAATGCTCCTAACAGCTTTTTTCCATCTTTTTTTATCTCTTCGTGTACTGTAAAAATGCTATTAAAATGTTAATGCTCCTAAGTGCTACTAAAATGTCAGCACAGAAATGTTATTATCAGCAGTAGAGCCACCAAGCTGGCTGTGTGCTCGGGCAGGGATGTGTAAATATCAGGAACGAATGGACAAATACAAATCCTTTAGCAGGTAAATCCCCTCCGATATATGTTTGTCTGTTGTGTAATAGCTGTTTGCCTGAAATTTAGCTTCAAGGTATTCAAAGCATTAAATTAGTATTTATCTTTTTTAACTTTATAAACCAGACCTTGTGTTGAATGCCACATAAAGCAAAAGGAACAGAGCTCCAAGAATTGTACATATGTTTGCCGTGGTGTAACTGCCGAAAAAGTGGACCAGCTAACAGAAGAGACATTCTGCAGAGAGAAGGATTCTGAGAACTGCTGGATGCAATATGTGTTACATGAAAACGATGGGGAAGATCTATACACCATAAAGTATACCCTAAAAAGAGGTAAGCAGCAGCAGAAAATATTTCACTGAGTGCAGTATGAGTGGGGATTTCAGCATGTAGGTCACTGGCATCTCATATACATTTTCATCCAGCCCCCAGTTGCTTTATTAAGTATACAGTATATAACTAGTGGTACTATTATTTTCACCGGTTGGGAAATGAGCTCACTTCAAATTAAAGTATAACCCCAGCAAAAGCTTTTATTTTTAGTATTGAATGACGAGTGAATAGGATTTTGTTTCTATTGCTGTCTTCCCACTGGGAAAAACTAATCTCATTCTGGGAGAAAATGGGAACTCCAAAAATGAAAAAGTTGTAATCAGGGCAGGAATAGGAGATAAATGTTCCAATGAGGATCCCTGTTCTGGTGAGAGCTATCGGAAG